GTTTCGTCAATAGAAATCTTTGGATTTCTACTTTCGAGATTTATTATCAAATGTCGCTATAATGTCCAAATTAAGCAATTTTATTGTTGCTTCTTTTTACGGAAAAGATTTGTTTCCACTTTCAGAGCTTCTGCACCAGTAAGTCTGATGATTCCTGCTAGAATGAAATACGTATAAGCGACCATACAGATGTACTATACGTGAAATCGAATCTTAACTGTCCGTTCTTTTATTTGGGTATACTCTTTATAATTACAAGAAATAAAATCACCAAAGATTTTTTTTATGAGGAGAAATGTTGAGAAATGCAACTTTTAGATCCTTCATGTCTCTTTTTACATCTTTAGCATCGTTTGATTTGTCCTGCAAATTTATAGAAGGCACAGATTAAAACAAAAATCTGAATTTTGGTTTCGTCAATAGAAATCTTTGGATTTCTACTTTCCAGATTTAAATAATTTGTATTTATTTTAAATTAAACCAATAAAAGGTTCTTATTCCAAACTAAACCTGTAATTTATTTACTGGTCTATATATTAATAGACTTCTAATTCAAAAAACTGATATTAGAAAAAGTTAAAAGTGTTGAAGTTTTTAGTATAAAAAGGAAAGTGGAAAGGGAAGGAAAGAAATTTAACTGTGTAATAAGAAAAGTGAGTAAGGTATGTAGCAATACGTTTAGAACTATTTTATTAAACGAAATTTTATTTTTAGCAGTATTTTAGCAATATACTTAAATCATTAAATGTCAGTTAAAATTAGTTTTTTATATAACGATTCTACTGTTATTCTAAATCCGATTCTATTGATGAAACTGATGGGTCTTATATTATTTATACCTAGTCGATTCTTTCGACAATAATTATTTATATCACATATCGTGTCCCGACTTCAGAACAACCTCGTAACCGAGTTTCAACAAAATTTTTCGGAGAAATTATAACTAAATGTTTCTTATTTGTGTACTACTACTGCAAATTAAAGAAACAAACACATAAATATAAATACAATATAAAGACAAGACATAGGATGCTAACATATCTACTAATAATTTATATAGTAAAGTTTTATTTTCTAGTCAGACACATTTTTTTAAAATATCATTTTCAATATTCTTCTTTCTACTTCCTACTTTATAAATAGACTTAATGCCCGTTTTACTTCGGTTCTTAGCCTCAATTGACATTGTATGAACATCTTTTCCTCGGTCGTCCCAGTGCTCTTCTTCCATTTGGCGATTTGTCTTTTGCTATTCGTACTATTCTATTTTCTGTCATTCTTTCGATGTGTTGATTCCATTCCACTTTTCTTCTTTTGGTCGACCCGTTTATTTCCTCTATACCACATATCTCTGTTATTTCCTCATTTTTTACTCATATTTCCCCACTTTTTACTCTGTCTCTTAGAATTTTGTTTCTTATTTTTTGTAAGACTTTCATTTCTGTTGTCCAGCAGTCTTTGTGTTTTCGCCTTATCTGCTCTTGTTTTCGCTGTGTACATCATTATCGGTCTTATTGTTGATGTATATATCCTGGTTTTCGTTTCTGTTGTGAGGTATTTGTTTCTCCAGATTGTGTTGTTGAGACATCCTGCTGCTCTGTTTGCCCTATTCACTTGTTTTTGTACTTCTTCTTTCACTTTTTCGTAGCTTGACAGTTTTATTTCTAAGTATTCAGTTTCCATCACTTGTTCTATAATTTTGTTATTTACGACTAGTTTACATCGTCTCGGTTCCGCTGATATCAATATCGCTTTAGTTTTCTCTGTTGATATCACCATGTTGTATATGAGCGCCGTATCTTCAAATTTTTTAAATAATCTTTGTAGGTCATCTTCATTTTCGGCTGTTATTATGACGTCGTCGGCGCAGCATACTATCCTTATTTCCTTTTCTCGCATTCTATAGAGTCTTCTTTTCTTAACGTTATGATTTCATCTATTATTAGATTAAATATTAATGGGCTCAGCGAATCTCTTTGTCTAATGCCAGTTTCATATTTGATAGGTTGCGATAGTTTTCCTTTACATCTTACCATAGCTATGTTACCTTTATATATGTTCTCAATGGTTTTTACTAATCCAGTGATATTCCCTTTTTATATAATAAATGTATCACGTCCCGAATTCTCAGTCTATCAAACGCTTCCTTGAAATCTATCAAACACATATATGCTGGTTTGTTGTATTCCAGCGACTTTTCTTTTATTTGTCTTATTACAAAAACTGCATCCGTGCATGATCTTTCTGTCTGAAATCCTTGCTGTTCCTCTTGCAGAGATATTCGTTCGTTTATTTTTGTCGCTATTATTCTTGTTGTCAATTTGAGTGTTGTATTTAAAAGATTTATTGCTCGATAATTATTGGGGTCTTTCTTATCTCCTTTTTTGAAGAACATAACCATGATTGCTCTCCTCCATTCATCTGGTGTTCTGTTCGTGGTGACTATTTTATTAATAAGAAGTTGCAGTTGTTGTACAAGGCAATCATCTCCATATTTTAAGAGTTCATTTGGTATTTGGTCTTCTCCTGGTAACTTTCTGTTTTTTAATATGTTTATTCCTTCTTTCACATCGTTTTGAGAGATCTCGGTCTTTTCCTCAGTAATTATATTTGGCGTTTCTGGTAAAGGTTCTTCGTTTTGTTTTTTAAACATTTCTATCAGGAAGGCCACCCATGTATCCTCTTGTATGTGTTATATTTCAACTAGTTCTTTCATTTCTCTTCTTTGTTGTCCATAGAAATCAATCTCTAGTCCTTTTGTGAATCGTTCCCAGTAATCTTTTTTTGGTTTTCTTAAATTGATGAGTTTCAGTTCTTATTGTTTTATATTCTTTTTGATTCATTCGTTTTTTCTGACTTATATTTTAGGAAAGCTTTCTTTTTTTGGTTACATTTTTGTTTAACCTTTAGTGTGAACCATGGTGTTTTCATTGACCACTTTTTGTTTAATATTTTCTTTCCAAGGGCTTCTCGGGCAATATCCAGAATATTTTTCTTAAGTTTTCTCCAGCTAGTTTCTACATTGCTTTCATTTTCGATTTTCTCCATTTGTATTTTCTGTTCTAGCCTTTTTTGATATAATTATTTTATGGAGTCATCTCTTAAATTTTCTATTTGTATTAGTTCCTCTGAATTGATTTGTTTAAGCTTCTCTTTCCATCTTTCATTAAATCTAATTTTACCAAGTACCAAATAGTGATCACTTCCCACATTGGGTAACGTCAAACTTCTTACTTCCACTATCTGTTTATGGTGAATATTTCTGTGTGTGACCACATAATCTATCAATATTCTATGTCCTCTTGTATTATTAAACGTGTATTTGTATTGAATTTTATGATCAAAAAATGTGTTGGTTATTCTCAGTTCGTTTGATGTGCAGAATTCGACCATTCTCTTTCTGTTTTCATTGATAACTCTTTCGTTAAACCTTTGTTTTATTCCTGGTATTACTTCGTCTCCTATTCTGGAATTGAAATCTCCCAATAATATAAGTAATAAATTTTGCTTCACGTCTCTTTCCACTAATGTTTGTAGCTTATAGAATTCTTCTTGATCGCTGTCAAGTTTGCAATCTTCTGGTGCATATATCCCTATTATTTTAATAATTTTGCTGTTCGCCCTAATTTTTACTAAAAGTATTCTCGGAGATATGTACTGACACTCTTTAATTTGATCTTTATATTTTGTTTTGATCATTATTGCTACACCTTCCTTTGCTCTTTCCTGTTTCGGAACACCACTATATATGAGTAAATATTCTCCAAGCCGCGTCTGTCCTTTACCTTTCCTCTTTGTTTCCTGTAAGGCGCAAATATCTATTTGATATTCTCTCAACTTTTTTTCTATTTCCTGATCTCGGTTATTTAGGCTTTTTATGTTCCACGTCGCCACTCTCATTATATTTTTCGTTACCATATTTTCTGTCCTAGTCCAAGGCTCGTCACCGGTTATTTGAGCTTTTCTTCTCTTTCGGTATATATGACATATGTGGTATATATTTCAGGCTGCTAACCTAACCCTACAACCCTCCTCCTTTATCCGGGCTTGGGACCGGCAACATCACCTACCAATCTACTCGATCCACCTAGTGGGTAATGCAGGCGGAGTTTTCAATATTATTGATGGATAAGTCTGATAACAAATAAGCGTTTATTTGACTACAATTGTAAAGATGAGACTTAAAAAATTCATCTCATTGTTATATTGGACATTGCCTTATCAAAATTGGAAGAAAAGTTCGAACAAATAAAGCAATATGATACAGTGTTTGCTTAATTTTCTCAATGACTTAAAACAGATAAATCATTTGGGTCTGCAGAATGTAAATTTCTTACAAATATTTTATGTGATAGCCAGCCAAAAATAAAAAAGTCAAGTCAAAAATCTTGTGACAGTAGCTAGAGGGGAAAGTTAAAAAAATAATAAATAATTCTCTACGATCTTTAATGGGACAAAAAAGGTCTGTGAACAGATTTTGCTATTTTTGCTTGTGTTCCTCGCCCTCCAAGTACAAGAATTCGTCGATCATATGATTTTACACAAATCCTGGTTTTATCTGAAAATAGCACATTTTGCTTATTTTTAATGTTCCAGTTTTGTTATTGAAGACACCAATTTAGGCGATCGAGCTGGTGTTGCCTGATTAACTCGGTAACCAGTAACTGTCTACTACTGTATAGTACTTTTGCACGAAGTCTTCTTCTTATCGTTTCAACTGAATCACTTACACCTGTCACTTCCAAAAGCTAGTTTTGGAGTTGGGTGAGAAAATGTTGGGTCTCTTCCAGCTACTTGGACAATAAAACGATCGTGGCAAGTCATTATTACTTTTTGGCGAATCCTGGTCTATTCTTAAGTGTTCCTTATTCCTGATACATAGCATAGGTTTTTGGCGCAACTTCATGTGTTACGCCTAGCACTGCAGCTATGTGGTTGTAAAATAGTTTTATATTTTTATAACAATAAATTACATAAAATTTGATTTGAATTAAATTTTTAGATAAGATGGCCCATCAAATTTTGCTTCTTAGTTTAATAGTAAGCATAGTTTCTTCCCATGTTGCCAAAGATTTTAGATTAGTAAGATCCCACATTTTACACGATGCAGAAGAAAAATCTTTTAATCAACTAGACGATGATGATCAGTCACAGCCCTCACAGGAAAACCATCAAGGACCTTACACAGGAACTTGCAAAGGGGGATTAGAATGTGTACCATTTGTAAGCTGTCCAGGTCACTATTGGATGAAAGATAAAGCTTATTGTAAATCTATAGTTGGTAGGAGAGGTATATGCTGCAGTTCTGGAAGAAATTTAACAAGTAAGTAATCAAAATAATAGAGGACTTTAAAAAAGTTATTCACAATAACTATTTTTTTAATAATGCCAACTTTTTAAGATACTGTTCTAAAGTTATTTTCTTGTGGCATTTTTAAGTAATTCCTATTTAAAAGGGAATAAGCCACAATTAAAAATTAAAGTTAGTTTTGACTAAAATTAACTTTAATCTTTAATTGTAGCTTATTCCCATTTAAATAGTAATTATTTTTAAGATACACGATACCACAACAAACTATATATAGTCTTTGAAACACACTAAATGATCAAGGATACGTTGATCAGAATAGGAATAGATGTGAATGGTTTTTTGGACCATTCTTACTAGCACATAAATAAAAGAAAAATTAAAAGGCAAAAATTAGTGAAATGATAGTAGCTACTAGAGTTAAAAAAGCAATATGGGATCAACTAAACAAAGAAAAATCATAAATAATTTGACAAAGAGTTATACGTTTTATTTCTGGATGGATCTAGTTGGTCCGTTATCACAGTTCCCAAATTTGTCATTTTGTGAACTTTCTTAACTTGGACTCAGATTAATTCAAGCTTTGCATCGGCATGTTGGTCACGACTAAACACTAAGAAATTGGTTTTGTTTGTATTTATGTTTATGCTCATTTCCTTTTTTACCTAGTGTATACGATCAAGCAGAACCTTCAATATTTTCTGACAGAATTATTGTATCGTCTGCATATGTAATTACATTAAGTAGCTCCCTGTTGATTTTTATTCCATATGGTTGTCTCCCAAGTGCCTTTTTAAATAACTTGTCCAAGTAGACATTGAGCAATGTTGGCGACAAAATACAAACTTGTGTGACTCCTCGTTGTATGGAGATTTCATCGGTGTAGTTATCTCCAATGTTTACGATAGAAATTTGAGTTCAGTACAAATTTTTAATGACACGAATATCCTTGTCATCTATTCCGATATTTTTCAGTATTTTCATTAATTTTACATGCTGTACTTTATCGAATGCTATTTCAAAGTCCACAAAACATGCAAATATATATTTTTTTTAGTCACGGCATTTTTGTAATACGATATTGAGCGCAAAAAGTGCCTCCCTGGTTTCCATAGCATTTCTAAAACCGAATTGGGTATCTTCGGTATCTTCTTCGCAATTGAGTCTAATTTTGTTGTGAAGTAGTCTTAGAAAAATTTTAAGAGTGTGACTTATTAGGCTAATTAATCGATATTCTGAGCATTTTCTCGCATTGTGTTTTTTAGGTAATACGACAAAGATGGATTTGAGCCAATCTGTGGGAATCTCCGGTGTTAAATATTGAATTAAAAAGTCTTACTTCTACGTTTATGTTATCATATTCTATTAATTTTAGCAACTCAGTTGGTCTATCATCTGGAATATAAGCTTTTCTTATTTTAGCATTAATTATAGCGTGTTCTACCTCGCATTTCATAATTTCTGGGCCGTCAGTACAGTTTTGGTGGAATTCGGCAATATTATTCCTGTCATCTTCAAACAACTCAGTATACAGTATAGATTTATACAGTATAGATATATACAGTTGCCATTCTTTTAATATTTCGTGTTCATTTACAATAATTTTGTTATTATTGTCACAGAGAGAACTCGATTTTTAAATATGTTACCCATGTCTTCAATGTACATACAGTATAATGGAAATGTAAGGAATTAATTTGTTATTTCGTAAACCGGAGACTTTAAGGAAAAATCCTGAAACCCGTCGATTTTTATTTTTAAATAAGCTATTCGTAAGAATACATTTTTATTTTTGACGTCATCTATGTGAGCGTTATGACGTCATTGCTAAATTTTTAAATAGAAAGAGGGTATTGTAATACATAATTTGAAAGGTCTTTTAAATACCTATGAAGCTATATCAATATGTCTAAGTAATTAAAGTTTGTAATTGTTTAAAAAAATAATTAAATTTTTTATTATTACAATAAATATTTATTAAGTATAATTCAATAAATACAACGAAACCTAAGTTAAGTGCTCAAGTTGTTTACCTTCCGCTAAAATACAATGAGAAAGGCGTGCCGCGAACTCTTCTCTAACATTGTCTAAAACTTCCGGTGTTATTTGAACAACCTCATTACGTATTCTTTCTTTCAGTTCATTAATATTTTGTGGTCTATTTTGATACACCTTACTTTTTAAATATCCCCATAAAAAGAAATCAAGAGGAGTCAAATCAGGTGACCTAGGCGGCCATTCTATTGTTCCTCTTCGACCTATCCACCGATTTGGAAAGACGTTGTTTAAGTAGTTACGTACCAAGACAGCATAGTGTGCAGGCGCACCTTCTTGCTATATCCATAAATCATTTCTGTTTGGAAACAACCGGTTTAATTCTGGAAGCAAGAAATTTAGAAGACATTCTAAATATCGAGGACCTGTTAAGTTTTCTTTGAAACAGTATGGTCCAATATACTTATTATCTATTATTCCCACCCAAACATTAATTTTCTCTGGGTATTAAGTACGGTACTCTTGCATCCAGTGTGGATTTTCAGTAGCCCAGTACCGATAAGTTTGACGATTGACATGACCGTTTAGTAGAAATGTAGCTTCATCAGAGACAATAATCTTTTTTAAAAACATCGGATCTCGTTTATTTCGCTCCATTATAATGTCACAATGTTCAATTCGTCAATCAAAATCATCTTCCATAAGTTCTTGTACTAAACTTACTTTGTAGGGATGCCACTTTTCCTTCTTTAGCTGTTTAAGAACTGTTGAATGGTCAATGTCATTATCTAATGCTACTTGCCGTGAACTGTTATGAAGATTATCTTGGAAAGCTAACAGAACGTTAACTTGTTGGTTTTCAGATATTGGTTTTCTACTACCTTTAGGAAGGTGTTTAACATGACCCGTTTCTCTAAATTTTTTCTTAATTTGGCTTAGAGTGGATTATCAAATTGGTTCTCGACGGGGGTATTTATTATTAAATAACGCACATACTTCTTTCTGCGTACGTGTTTTATCTCCATAACCAATCATTCTGAGAATTTCAATTCTTTGCGTTTCAGTTAGCTTCATGTACAAAGATACAAAGACTTTCGAATACGTTTACTACAATAATACTATTAATCACTTGACAGAAAGATAATTAAGTTTGAATGTCCAACTATCAATGTTCATATTGATAAGATAAAAATTTTTTATTTTATCAATAAATTAGAACGAGTTGTTATCAACAGGTCCTCGTAGACACTTCGTCTCAGGACCATTTTACTCATGTAGAGTCATACGCCGCCATGTTACCTATCCAACGGTAACTTAACCATCACAAATTAGAAATACTAATAATGTAAAACAACTTCAAATTTATAACATTTAAAGGGTTTTTACCCATATATTTTGGTGGCTACTAGCATGTACAACCGTTTGCACTGATGATGGATTGTTTAATCCGAAAACGTTTTGCAATGTGTTTGTGATAGCCGGTTTGAGGCATTTTTATATACCTTTTATAAAGGATTTTAACAAAATTTTTTTTGTGATACATGTTATACAGCCAGCTACAGGAACTTAGTTTCCTCGTGAAATGGAAGTAAAAATATTTTTATCAATAACTCAAAAACTATAAATGATAATTTCGTGAACTTACATTTTTGAACTCTACGTTAAATTCTCTATTGATTTGACTAATAAAAACGAAAGCGGAAGTCGACCTCAAAACCAGAATGGAATTTTTAGTTCATCAAATGTCGACATAGATATCATTTAGCAGTTAATTTTAGCATGGATATCATTTTCGACCATAGATCAGATTTTTACTCTCAGGCAGCTGCTTGAAAAAGGATGGGAATTCAATAGAACCATTCATAATATCTTTATAGATTTCCGACAAGCATACGACAGCATTAAAAGGCATCAGATGTGGAATGCAATGGCAGAACTTTCAGTTCCAAAAAAACTTATCCAGCTCGTTAAAGTTTGTGTAAAGTGCGGATAGGTAACAAGCTCTTAGAGTCGTTTGAAATAAACAGTGGACTGAAACAAGGAGACGCGCTGTCACCTCTTCTTTTTAATATAATCCTGGAAAAAGTAGTAAGAACCGCACAAATTAGAACAGAACTACTGACAGTAAATGGACCAAAATTACTACTAGCATACGCGGATGACATTAACATTGTAGGAAATACCGTCACCAATGTAAAAGAAACCTTTAATAAATTAGAGAGAGAGACAAAAAATACCGGTCTAAGGGTCAATGTAGAGAAAAACAAATATATGTGCATAAACAGACAAAAGAGACGAGATAGAATAGGACAAAATGTAACAATAGACCCCTATAACTTTGAAAGAGTGGAGAGTTTTAAATATCTCGGAGCGACTATCACCACAGATAACGATATCACGGAAGAGATAAAAGAGAGAATTCAGGCAGCAAACAGATGTATGTATAGCCTTTACAACACTATTAAATCCAAGAGCCTAACACGAACATCAAAAATCAGGATATATAAAACAGTAATTAGACCGGTGCTCATGTATGGGTGTAAGACGTGGACGCTGACAAAAGCAATGAAAATTAAACTCAGATGCTTTGAGAGAAAAATCCTCAGAAAGATCTTCGGTCCCTATCACGATCCGAATACTAACTAATACCGAATGAGAACAAATGCCGAGGTCAAAAAAATGTATAGTGCTAGCGACGTAGTCCAAGAGAAAAAATCCCAACGTCTAAGATGGGCTGGCGATGTTCATAGGCTCCCTAATAACCGCCTTACCAAGTTAATCTGGGAAGAAGTTCCGACAGGGAGAAGGCCCTTAGGACGTCCACGAATACGATGGAGAGATAATATATGGTCAGATTTGAGAATAATGGGGCTACCCACTGACTTAAACATCATGGACGACCGTTCGAGATGGAAGCAGGTTGTGCAGTCAGCCAAGACCCACTCCGGGTTGTAGTGCTACCAGAAGAAGAAGTTAATTTTGCATGCTGATCACGAATCCGGTGTCAGATTTGCTCTATCTTGACGTTTTATGCGCGTTTCGGGTCACTTCCGGTGTCGGATCGCAACCGGAAGTACATATTTAGGTTCTTCCCGACGAGACCTTTCGATCCATATATACATTGTGGGGTCTAAAACTTAAAGTAAATTTTAACTTCCGGTAATCTCAAAACCGGAAGTGAATTTTTGTAACAAAAGTATGTCTTGACAATCTCATACGTAATACTAATAATATTCCGAGAAAATATTTTAATTATCTAATATGGTTTTTGAGTAAAGTGGTGGAAAAGAAAAGGCCTTAGCGTTTTAGTATATAAGATGACAAATAAGACAATGGACTATTTTATATTTAAACTTCGATAAAATTAAAGGCAGATATCGAGTACTTAATTAAATCTTCCCAAGTAGTTTCGCTTCCTAGAGCATCTTCAGGGGCATTTCGTCAAATTTGGGCTATCTAACAAGTTCAGACAAACTGTCTATTTAACAGAATGTCTAACTGTATCTAATGTCTGTATATTCTGTATCTAACGGAATGTCATAAACACCAAATTAAACATAAAATTGTGCATAACACTACACTAAACAAGGACAAACAGTTTAAAATTATTTGTTTAGTGTAGTATTATGTACAATTTTATGTTTAATTTTATGTCTATGACATTCTGCGATTGTTGGATAGCCCAAAATTGACGAAATGCCCCTGAAGATGCTCTAGGAAGCGAAACTACTTAAAAAGATTTAATTTTATATTTAATAAAGAAAACTAAAATTTTAAGAGCGATGTGTATATTTTGGTAGAAGCGTAGCTAAAATCATAAATAAAGACACTATAGCGATTCTAAATACTCTAAAGCAAATCTATTTAGTTCAATTTTTTAATTTTAGAACCTCTGACATCCAAAGATAATAGAGCTCACCGACCTCATCACTTAAGCTTGGATTCGACAACTCTTGGAATTCTGACGCATAAGAGTAGAGCTGCAATGGATCGGCTACGATTACAAGAAACCAAATTACTTATGACTGATGGTAACATGATTCTGGAACCAGGTTCTGCCAGTTATAGCCATTTCAGAAATTCAAGAAGATTTAGTTTTACGGATGTTGCGGAAGTTATAAACATAGGAGCAAGAGCATTGCAAATTGCTGTCGCTACAACTGCATTTAAAGAAAGGTACATATTTAAATGATTTATCTGTAATTAAATTTTATCTAAATAACAACTCGATTTTTATAAGTTGATCCGTAACTAAATTTTTAACTTCTGTCTTCATAAATCTCTACAGTTTTTTCTACTATGTCAACTTTTTAAGGTACCTACATTATAGTCTCTCTTTCTCTAAAACGTAATTTAAATGAGCATCAAAAAGGTAAAAAGTATAATCCATTTGGAAATTATTTATAGCATTTTTATGACAACTGATAATCCCCAACGTAATATCATACACCAGTAGCGAAGAATTTAAAATTGAAAGGAAATAATAATAAAAATCCGAAGATTACTACTTTTTTTTTACCGCATCAACCCCTAGGGTTATTAGCGGGGTGGCATATTTTTATTTCAGAAAAGTTACACTTAGTATGTTAAAATTTACATAACAGTTTTGAAAAATACAAACATTTTATGTTATGTTACAGTTTGTTATACAGTTCACAATTTTTAATAAAATTTATTGTATAACTGATGTCTTCTTTTAGAGTTTCTTTCAAATTGTGTTTTATTTTTGCTGTCGATTTTGCTGTTGAGTACACTGGACAGTCTCATTATTCATTCAGTTCTCATCAGACATATCATTATATGTTGCACTGAAAAGGGTATTTGACAGGTGTGGCAAATCGTCCTTGGAGATGATGTATCCATGTGTAAATTTTGTATGACCTAGCCGCAGTCTGTTAATAACTACCTGGTCATGTCTTTGAGCTGGGAGCGGTAGTAAAGCAGAAGTAACATCTGGTTTGAAAATTTTTAATTTTGCTTCTGTTTGGCTCCATTTTACTTGCCAGGTTTTGTTAATGTAAGATTTTAATAATGTTTTTTGGTTTGAAATTGGTATGTTTTGCATAATAGGAATTATCATGTTATTGATCGTTTCTGTTGCTGCTTTATCAGCTGCTTGATTACCCTTTATCCCAACATGGGATGGTACCCATAAAAATGTTATGTTTTTACCACGTGTTTGGGCATTGTATAGCATCTCTTTTATTAGTGCTAAATTGGCATGACCAGGATACATCTGCTTGACACCATTTAAGGCACTCAGAGAATCTGATATAATAAGAAAATTTATATCATTGCTGGACGCTGGTACATTGGTTCAGTGCGTTGAAGATTGCTTGCAGTTCTCCATTATATATGCTACACTCCTTGGCTAGACGTATGACAGAGGTGTTGTCTTCAAAAATAGCTGCAGTAGCAGCTGTCTCTATATCTCTAATAGCAGAATGTCATTCTCTCTTCTGTTACTGATAAAGAATGTAGAGCGTAGAACCATTTTAATTAATTTCAAACTGTTTGTTCTTGTTTTAGTGTAGTGTTTGTATAAATTTATCTTAAAATTCATGTTTATTACATTCTAGCTTGCTGGATACCCCAAATTTGACGAAATGCCCCTGAAGATGCTGTAGTAAGCGAAAGTACTCGGGCAAGATTTATTTGTTAAAATTGTGCTCGATATTTGCCTTTCATTTTTCAAAGTTATTTTATTTTATATTTAGTGCTTCTACGATTCGCTTATACGTATTTCGTCCTTTTTAGCATTCATTAGAGCGCTTCATTCATTAGACAGCGATATCTAAAAATAAAGCTAAAAGTAAAAATTTAAAGATTTCTCCTACTTGTTCAAAATCAAAATTCAGATTTCCACCCAATTATGTATCTTCTACGATTTTCAAATCAGATCATCATCAAACAGATGATGAATATAGCTTAAATACTTAAAGCTTGTGTAAAGTTTATTAAAATTAGGTAAAAGAAATAATAAATATGACTTAATCACATCCAGTTTAATTTAACTATCTAGACGACCAGTTTCGCATTCTACAAGATACAAAGCATCTTCAGGTCTCTATACAAAGTTAATTAAATGCTGAAATAATAATACCCATATTAGGGAGTTATCTTATAAAGATAAACAAAGATAAAAGATATAAATTTATGCCAATATTACATGTCTATGGTTTTGTTTTTCAAAATCAATAAACTATTTAAGCAGACAAGGTAAGACCCACAAATTGATATAAAAATAGTATATTGAATTGTAATAAATTAGTAAACTACATGTTACTTACATGCCGGTACTGTATTAATTAATGGAGGTGAACTGCCATCCGAAAGGTTTCCGAAAGTTTTATTTTATAGATATAATGCGTTCGCTGTAACATGCCCAAAAAGGAATCTAGTTTACATGGTATAAATTTTCCGAGAGATGGAGCTTCTCTTATTTAGGAGAGTAGATGGAATAGTTGGATATATACTGCAGTATGTATTTTGTTACTGTTACTAAAGGATTGCCTATCAATTTCCCAATTAAATCCAACATCTACTTTTGCTACTGTTAATAAAGGATTGATTATCGATTTCCCAATTAATTCCAACATGTTTCTTCCTAGCTGTCAATATTTGGGAAACTTGTTGCATTTCATACCCACTAAAGTAGCGTTTTAAGCCAAATGATCTACTTTTTCATTACCTGGAATATTAAAGTGACCTTTTACCAACACAAAGCTAACAACTGTTCTTAGAGAACTAAGGATCCCTAGCTTCTCAAGCTCTTCTACAATTATCTGTTATTATATAGGTATGTGTTTAACGAAGTGTCTTAATGCGAGGACGACGGACTGTGAGTCGGATAAAATTATATATTGTTTGAAATAGAATGTGCTGTTAATTATCTAATCCAACGCTTTGACAATAGCGACCAATTCAGCCATGCATAGCAATCTGATTTTAATTTATACTGAAAATAATCCTGAATATTGTCTATGTAAATGTCTTAGTCAACACCAGCAGACGATTTTGAGCCATTGGTATAAATTTTACAAGAGTAGTTACAGTCTTCCAGCTTTTCCTGTATTACAGATCTTTGTAGACAATTAAGTTATGTGAAGCAATTACTATAATAGGTGTATATTCATATAGTATGTCCTAATTAGACCCAAAGAATGGAACCCATTCTCTATTTAATGCATAATGTGATAGATTAAGAAAAGCAATAGTTAGAGTTACAGAGTTTTTATTTGCCCCCTATTTGTATGTTAGATTTTCAACAGAGACACGAGATATGCTTTGTAACAAGCTGTTTTGATTAATAAACTGACATAAAAAAATAATTTTTTCTGTCAAAAATAGACGTTTTAGATGTGAAGGTGGCTCGTTACTTTCTGCCAAAAGGGCTGGGTAAGGAGTAGATTTGAAGGCTTATAGGACTAACCTGTATTCGATCCAATTTAATAAAACGAGATTTTGTTGCTGACCCATAAAAAAAAGCTTCCATGTTTATTTTCGGGTCTACTCCTTAATCGTATCGATTAAGGGCCCTAAGAATATTAAGGCGTTTTTCACACTTGTCTCGAAAAAAAAATAATACATCTGACTTCTTAGGTTAGATATCAAGCTCATGACAATCAAAGTACTTTTTGCATTATATTATATTTACTTTAAGGGCATTAATACATTGCTGAAAAGTTTTTTTTTAACATAAAAACAGAAGTCATCTGCATATTGTAAAATGTTCAGTCCATTCCCATAGTATGTAAACTTAATGAATACGAGTAAAATAGCATGGGACTAAGAACTGAGCCCTGAGGTAAACCTTGGTTAACTATTTTTGAACCGATAAGTAAATTATTTAAACGAATACGAACTTGTCTATTTGTAAATAGAGCGACTAGGATATAAGCGCATTTACTCGGCACTCCTAATTTAAAAAGTTGATCAATTTCGTGCTCTATATTTTTCAGGTATCTTTTGCTCACTGTATTGCTCAAAGTATAGGAAGGATCATTAAAGCAATGCAGTAGAGGATAATGAAACCCCAATTTTAATATAAACATTTTTTATTAGATATACTTTTTAGGGAGGGGGTGAGTAATTTAGAGTTAGAGCAAGGACTCTTGGAACAAAACTTAGAAAGCAGCCCATTGGGACATGTTTGTCCTCATAAACCTCATTGTCCACCTGTTGATGATAAATATAGGAGGATTGATGGTACTTGCAACAACGTATACCACTCATTATGGGGAGCTTCTAAAACACCATATAGTAGATTAATGGCACCATATTATGATGATGGTAAATATACTATTAAATTAATTTTTTTGTTATCTCTTCGACTAGGTACACAAATACATATTTATTTTGTAGGGGTCTGGTCACCAAGAACTTCTATTTTGGACAGACATGCTCTTCCAAGCCCAAGATTGATTACTAACCAGGTTTTTAATGACAGGGAAGCAAAAAATGAGGAATATACTTTACTTCTTATGCAATTTGGACAATTTATTTCACATGATATTACCCATTCAGTCGACTTTACATACAGTAAGTAGTTTTTCTAAATTTTTTAATTTGTATTATTTTGAAGCTATTTGATTGAGGCAGTATAATACTATTTACACAATATTTTAATGAGATCTTTAATGATAATTAATCGCAACTTACAATATAAATTTACATAAAAATAAATTTTGATTTTCTGAAAAAAAAAGTAATTTGTTAAAATTGAAAATAAATATTTTGGAGTAAGACATTGTCACAAATAGGATCCCGACTCCAGACAGATTCGGCAAACTGAAGAATAGGTTTGATAAAATTAAATTATTAGAAGAATTTTTTCACCAAGTAACAAAAAAACACAATTTGTTTAATTTACTAATGTTTGTATTTTGAGAACGATTTCCGAAGTGAAAATTGAAACGTCAATAAACGTACTTTAACGTTTAATTATGGCTTTTTTCATTTAAATAGTAATTATTTTAAAATGCCACAAGAAACTAGTTTCAGAACAGTATACTATAAGTTCATAATAATAAAGTAATAAGAAATATTAAAGCAAAATATGTCAATAAACACTAAATACTTTACCATTTATTATCAATGTAACCTATTTCGCAGTTTGACTTTTTTAGACTAAAAAAAAAAAAGAAAATAATGCATTTCTAGTACAGTTAATATAAGCCATAATTTTGGCTTTGTACGAGCAATCATTAATAAATAAAAATTTAAATATCAAAGAAATACTACGCTGCTCTGCAGTCTAATCAACGACATAATTTCAGTTACATTTATATTTACTTAATGTAAACAAAATGAACTAAATTTAAAGTAGGACATGAATACATAAGGTTAAAAACCGTAATTTTTGATTCTACGTAGTTAAATACATGGTAAAGATAAATACGATTTACCAGAATGTACAATGAGAATTCAAACTAGCAAAAAGTGGAATAAATCTTGTTATATTTACACGCAGCATCCCAAGAGCCCGCTTTATCACAAGCGCTTCATTAGTAATTAAATAGAAATGTTTTAAAATGCCCCCAAAATGTTATATGCCCCCAATTTTTATCGGGAACTGATAAAAAAGGTTTGCACTTAAAATCTTAAATGAGGAGCGTTTATTCAAATCCGGACAAATCCATTTTTTTATAAGATTCTTTTACTATCGTTTTTAAATCTTTGTCGTGGTTTCTGTGGATTGCTTACCTCAAAAAAGTTTAAACCGGGTATATCCCGTACCAATTCGAACTTAAACTTTGCGCGTTCAGTCAAAACCGGACAAATCCTCTGTCGATTATGACGTTTTGAGGATCATTCAAAAGCAGACATATCCCATTACATTTAATATAGTCAAATCTAAAAGTAGGACAAACATAGACATCTCCATACGGACAAATCTTTCGACTCGAAAACGTTGTACATTTTTCTTTCGGCTCAATTCGATTGATGTCGATCAGCAGATGTGGAGGAAGAGTGCAGAATTGCTTATACAAACACCAACGACGGTCGGCTCACATACACATGGTTCGCTTTGCTCCTGAATGAGGATTGTATTACTGTTATACCGGTAGGAGTAGGTATTTGCATATTCACTGTCAATAGTGGATACTACAGTAGCAGATATAAATTTGGGCCCCAGAAAGAAAAAGCCTAAACGACGAGAACGATAGAAGAAGACCATGAGATGCATGTATAAAGAAAAAAGTCATGCTAATACAATTTTTCATTTCCTGTTACCAATAAAAATATGTGAACACTTATTTTTAAGTTTTTGTTTTATTGCAACAAATTTCTTGTGTTATTATTCTTGTTCAATAAAAATATCATTTCTATGCTTCTGTTTTGTATAAATAACGATTTTTATTAGAATGCTTTAAAATATCCATCCAGCATTCAAACAAAAATGGACAGATCCAACATGCGTTCAGACAAAACAAGACATATCCATTTGTCAATTTAACTTTTTTGCTTTAATATAACTGTTTTTTAAAAAGTGGTATATAAGTTGGAAGTGTCATTTCAACCCACGCAAAATTGCAGAAATTGCAAAAGAAACATATAAATATTCAACGAATAATCCGTTTATTCCGTTTTTCTCGAAATTATGTTAGAGGGATCTGTCCGCTTTTAAATGAACGCTTAAACATGTTGCCTGTATGAGTCTATTTTAAATAGGTAAAAAGTAATAAGAATAAGACTTACTTATAATCAATTTATTCCACCACCAACGACTAGTTCCTCATACTATAATTTTCCGCATACTATAAGACTATTTTATACTACTACCACAGTATAAAGAGGTTCCACTTTATACTGTGCTACTACCAGATAAAACTTTTATATTATACAATATGTTTTAGGCAACGGCAGTGCTATATCATGTTGTACAAAGGATGGAAAAGATGCCTTGCCAATAGAGAACCGTCACTATGCATGTATGCCCATTAAACTGCCAAAAAGTGACAACTTTTATGGAGGTTACAAACAAAAATGCATGAATTTTGTCAGGACAGTTTTAGCACCCCGTGAGGATTGTACTTTAGGATATTCGCAGCAGGTAAGGAAAAAGAGTAAAAGTAAAAGTATTAGTAAGTGACCCGGTATTTTAATTTGACTTTAATTATAAGTAAAACATTATCTAACAAGACCGGATAAGCTATATGCGTTGTTTTACATCAAACTATATAAAACAAAAGACCAAGTAGCATATTTTAAAAACCTCTTCTAGATGAAATTTTTACCATTATGAGTCTTCTTTTTAATGTGCCTATCTGTTACGAATGTTGGCGATCATCATGGCAATCTTTATCCTAATTGAAGCAGCGCGGAAAAGCTGCATAGATGTTGTATTGAACCAGATTTTAAGGTTTTTTAACCAAGATGTTCTTCTTCTTCCTAAACCTTGTTTTCCGAATATTTTTCCTTAAAGTATGGCTTAAACCAGAGCATATCTGGATTTATTTCTCATCATATGTCCAAAGAACTGTAACTTTCGAGATTTGATGGTGGTCAGTACCTCTCGGTTTTTATTCATTCTTCTAAGGACCTCCTGATTTATGACTCGGTCAGTCCATGGGATCTTAAGTATTCTCCGATATAGCCACATCTCAAATGCTTCCAGTTTTCTGCACATATCTTCGTTCAAGGTCCACTATTTAATACCATAAAAAATCACGGAGAAGACGTAGCATCGCAACATTCTTACTTTTGTATCAAGAGATAGGTTGACACTCTTAAAGAAGGCACCATCCGATTGGAGGTGAATCTAGCTTTCCCGATGCGTGCTCTTATCTCCTGGTTGTTGGTCCATTCTTCATTCATTATAGTGCCGAGGTAGTTGTAGTGCGTCACATTTTTTAATGGAGATTGGTTGACTTAGAGTTGACCTTCTGTTATCATTTTCTTGCTAATTATCATAAGCTTTGTCTTCTTAACGTTTATAATAAGTAGATATGTTTGACTGTAATGCGTGATTTTGTTCATAAGAACTTGTGGGTCTTCTAAGTTGTCAGCAAATATTATGGTGTCATCTGTATATCTGATGTTCTTTAGCCGGTAACCATTTAGTAGAATACCTTTTTCAGTTTCGTACAAAGCTTTGATAAATATTCTTTTACAGTAGAGATTGAAGACTAAAGAGACAAAAAATAGCCTTGCCTCACTCCACGCATGATTTTCACATAGTTAGTGTGTTCACCTTCAATTATGAGATTTGCTGTCTGATTCCAGTAAAGTTTTCTAATTATTTTCAGACCTTGGTTGTTAATTCCTGTTTCTTTTAGTATTTGCATTATCTTGGCGTGCTGTACTCAATCAAACTTCTTCTTCTTCTTCTTACGGTGCCTATCCGTTCCGGATGTTGGCGATCAACATGGCTATCCTAACTTTGCTTGCTGCTATTCTGAATAGTCCGGTTGTCGATGTAATAAACCACTTTCTTAGGTTTTAAAGCCAAGATATTCTTCTCCCTGGTCCTCTCTTTCCAAATACCTTGCCCTGAAAAATGAGAAATGAAACGCTTTCTCGTAATCAATCAAACATGCATATATGTCGCAGTGGAAGTCTTTGGATCTCTGGAATAAGACTTGTACTGATAATAAAGCCTCTCTAGTACCACCAGCATTTGTGAACTCGAACTGGTTGGGGCAAATTTAACTTTCACACAGCTTGTAAATTTTATTATGAATTATCTTTAGAAACAATTTTAGGAGATGACTCATGAGGCTTATAGTACGGCAATCTTCGCATTTTTGGGCTCCTGTTTTTTTTTAGTGCAATAAACTTAGATTTCAGCCATTCTGTTCGTATTTCTCCAGAGTTGTATATGTTGTTGAATATCTTTGCGATTATGGCTATTGATTCGTTGTCCATTTGTTTGTGTAGTTCTGCTTGTATATTATCAGGGCCTGCCGCTTTGCCATCCTTTAATTGTGTTATTGCAAAATAAAATTCCTGCTGTAATATTCTTCTTTTTCTTCTTTTTGTGCCACTCCTATCGGAGATTAGAAATCATCAAGGCTATTCTGTCCTTGTTTACGGCTGACCTAAAGAGTTCATTAGTGGTGCAGCCAAATCACTCTCTCAAATTCCGCAACCATGACATTCTTCTACGGCCTGGATTCCGTTTTCCTTCTATTTTTCCCTGCATTATATTTTGAAGTAATGCGTATTTATGTCCTCTCATCAGGTGACCCAAATATTCGAGTTTTCTTCGCTTTAGCATTAACAAAATCTCTGGGTCTTTTCCTATTCTTCGTATTACTTCACAGATTGTTATTCTTTTAACCCAACTAATCTTCAGCAATCGACGGTAGCACCACATCTCGAAACTTTCAATATTTTTCATGTTGTTCTGTTTGAGAGTCCAGGCCTCTACACCGTATAATAGCGTGTTAAATACATAGCCTCTCAGCATTCTTAATCGTAGAGGGATGATTATATTTCTGTTGCAGAAGACTTTTCTCATCTTTATGAAGGTGGCCCTGGCAATTTCGATACGTCTTTTTATTTCACTGTTTTGGTCTCCAATTTCGTTTATTAAAGTTCCCAAGTATTTGTTACTTGGTACTTTTTCAACTTGAGTGCCGATTATACTAATATACGCTGGTTGTGTCATGTTTTTACTAAAGACCATATACTTGGTTTTTTTAATATTGATATTTATACCATAATTGTTGCAAGCAATATTTATGTCTGTAAGTAATCTTTGTAATTCTTCTACTGTTCTTGCAACTAGTACAGTGTCGTCCGCGTATCGAATATTATTTACAATCTCTCCATTAATTACGATTCCTCCATTTGCTTGTAAAAGGGCTTCCTGACAGATGCTTTTACTATATACATTAAATAACAGAGGTGACAAAATGCAACCCTGTCGTACTCCTCTACGTATTTCTATTGCTTGTGATGTTTCAGTTTCTATTTTGATGTTAGCTTTCTGATTCCAATATAGATTGAGAATTATTCGCAGATCTTTACTATCTATGTCCTTCCTTTCAAGAATCTCTCTAAGCTTATCATGGCGTACTCTGTTAAACGCTTTTTCAAAATCGATAAAACACGTATGTACCTCCTGATTAACGTCTAGGCATCTTTGTGTGAGAACATTCAAACCGAAGAGAGCTTCTCGAGCACCAAGCCCTTTTCTGAACCCCATCTGTGTATTACTAATATCTGACTCCAACTTTTGATAAACTCGGTTGTGGATGATTTTTAGAAATATCTTTAGTAGGTGGCTCATTAAAGATATTGTTCGATGTTCTGAACATTCTTTAGCATTAGATTTATTTGGCAGTGTAACGAATGTAGACAACAGCCACTCTTGAGGTATAATGCCAGTATTGTATATTGTATTGATTCATCATTCAAGAGCTTTAGCAATTCGGTAGGAACCTCATGCGGTCCATTTGCCTTCCCAGTTTTCGAATCTTTAAGTGCCATTTCTACTTCACATTTTAGAATTTCAGGTCCCGTTTCGCCATATATCAGAACAATGTTATTTCTGTTGTCCTCAAATAATTCTCTTATGTATTCACTCCATATATTAATTTTCTCTGTTAAATCTATAATAATCTTTTCATCATCTTTGTTCTTAAGCAAACTTATTTGACGTCTTCTTTGGGTTCCTGTAATTTCTCTTACTTTTTTATGTATATTGAACGTGTCATATTTTCTTTCATAGTTTTTCATTTCTACACATTGTTCTGTAATCCATGATTCTTTGGCATTTCTTATTCTTTGCTTTATATTCTTATCAACCTCTTTGTATTTTTCTGCATTATTCTTCATTTTACGTCTTTCATCTATTAGTTCTAGAATGTCTGGTGTCATCCACACCTTATGTTTCTTTGCAGATTTGATTAGGTGTTTCTTTCCCGTAGTTCTTATTATAGTATTTATATACTTAAGTTTTTCATCTATGTTGTCTGTTCTGCGGATTTGGCTTTCTGCTACACTGAGGCTGGTGTTTATTTCTTTTCGCACTGTTTGTCGTAGATGTTCATTTTTAAGCTGGCTTAAGTCTAATGCTGGAATGATGGCTTTTCTTATTTTCTTTGGTCTAGCTTCTATCACAGATACTACTGGATTATGATCCGAACCGATATCAGCTCCAGGGAAAGTTTTAGTAGATTTTACGGCATTACGGTATCTTTTTGTCACCAATATGTAATCTATTTGGTTTCTGACCACTTTTTCTTGTGTATGTTCAGGTGACGTCCACGTATATAGTCGCCTTGGGGGTAGTTTAAAAAATGGATTAGTTATTATTTAATCTTCGCTTTGACAAAACTGAACTAAACGATCACCCCTTTCATTTCTATTACCTAAGCCATATTCACCGACATTTTCTCCACCTTTACCCTGACCTACCTTGGCGTTCAGATCGCCCATTACTATGTTAATGTGTTGTCTCTTTGTTGTTCTCATCACCTCTTCTAAGATATTATAGAATTGTTCAATTTCCTCTTCTTCTTTGTCTGCTGTAGGAGCGTACACTTGTATGATGTTTATCATGTTATTCTTATCTTTTAATTGTATTAACATCACGCGCTCTGAGAATGGAGTAAAGTTTACTACAGCATCTTTCCATTTTTTTAAGATGATGACTCCTACTCCGTATCGATGGGTTTTGGTGTCAAATCCGGCATAATAAAACATACCATGATTATTTGTGGGACATTTGCCGTTTCCTGGCCATTGTGTATCGCTCATGCCTAATATGTCTATACCCAAACGATCCATTTCCAACACGACGTTATCTAATTTTCCCGAAGAGAATAAGCTCCTTACATTCCATGTAGCAATTTTTATGGTTGTCTTTTTCTTTTTACAAGGGTTTCGCTGGTTTACGACCGAGAAAGCCTTGTACTTATCTATTTCGCTTTCTCTGTCGGATCTTGGTATCCGATGTCCATGATCAGTACTTTTCCTTTGCATGTCTACCATGATGATTACTACTAGGGGTAATATTCTTGGTCCATCTCTTCCTCTAGGTCAAAAGTGTTATCCCTTTGGTTTTCAAATGGTTTTTCTACATATTATTTCCACGTTATTTTACTATGTTTTTCTAAGATGATTTTCTCATCAGAATCAGTTATATTTCCTTTCTACCTTCGTCGTAGCCCCCCTGTGAGTATTTTAACTTTCCTATATACATGACTATCGTACTTTGACTGCAGAGTCTCAATTTCTTCGCAACTTTTTCTTGCTCTTTTTCCTTTCGCTTCTCTTATGGGTCGCCTGATAAGAATATTTAGAACAAGCCGTGTCCTTATTAACATATTTAAAACTTGGTTAATAGCAGTTCATATTAAAAATTGGCAGCAAAGTTTGGATCGTAAGGCAAGCTGATATAAAAGCTCTATAAATAAGGGGAAAAAAGTATTACGAAACATATTTGGTGCAAAAAAAGTTGAAAATAATTGGGAACGCAGAAAAAGCCAAAAGTTACAAAGGTTATATAAAGAAAGTAGTATAAATGTGGTGGTAAAAGCTTAACGGATTGATGGCTAGATCATATATTGACAATGCCAGTAAACTGAGTTCAGAAGTTGAATTCATCCAACTTCTCCAAATTCTTCCAAATCCAATGGAAGCAAGCATAAAAAAATAAGACCAAATGACAGATAGAGAGATAAAGTACTAGGGAAAATTAAGAACCTAAACATTGTCAACTGGAAAAACAAATTAACAGACAGCAAAAATTGAAATTTCTGTGGCGTTTCGCTTTTTGCATAAAAAAAAATTTTGGCGACCTTCCGGCAATTCCGACGATTTTTCTAGATACGGTCCGTCCCAAACCCTTTTTTCAGTGCGTCATAGTTGTTCGAATTCTCTCTAACGCATTAAGCTAGAAGTGACAGAAAAAAACGTGAGTCGCTTATTATTATACATAGAAATTAGAAAATTAGGTATCGTTTACGGGTATTCGCATATTAAAGCGAATTCTACTTACGAACGTATAATTGGTTGGAGTTTAGAATATGCTAAATAGATATCCAATCAATTATGCATATAAATATAATTTGACACAGATGATCTTGATAATGACAGTGACAGTACTTTCACAACAACTGATAAAATGATAATTGCCATTCCAGGTTAGTATTTTCAGACATTTTAACTACAGTGAAAATTAAATTCTGTATTTATTGTCATAAAAATATTTTAAATATTCCGAGATATACCGAGAATGAAAAAAGACTAATATTAAAATTATTAAATTAGTTTCAATTAGAAAATGAGGCTGAGTTATCTTTATTTCAGTTTCTGTCGCTCGCGAATCAGATTGTGAATTCCGGAATCATATTGAGGAAATATCTTAAACTAATACCTTTATGGATATTTATATGTATTAAAATGGTTCTTTTTAGAACCACGACATTTTCTTGAAATGTAGGATATAATTGATACCAGCCACATATCTAGTGTAATCATTGATTTTCAAGAATCAGATTCTGAATTGGATTATAGATTGTTTGAAATATAATATTCATTTTTGTTATTCATAAAAAAGAAGGTAAACTTACATTCTGTATCTTGTTTTTTAACTAAACTCCATTAACACGATTTCATCTGGATATCGGAACTGGTAGATTAACTCAAGAATCAACTGCTTCACTATTTAAACTATTTATATTGTTTTTTTAACTAAACTTTATAACCTTCTTTCATTTGCACACCAAATCTGGTAGAATAACTCAAAAATCAACTGCTTCACTATTTAAACTATTTCCACTATTTAATGACAACTCTTCACAAAATTAAACTATTGGCTGCCACACAAACTTATCAGAAAATTCCTTATCCAAATATGACTGATTTAAATCGATATTATTTTATCGCAGGAATGTTTACTTTGATGCCTTGCAATTGTCAGTATTTTTTTTTACCTTGCAGTCAACTCTTAAAAGATTCTAGGAGGAAGCGTTATTTTAAATAAACAAACCTTCCAATTCCCTAGTGTTTGTAATAAATAATAATAAATCCATAAACAAATCTTAGCTAATTAAGCACTTTCCATGGAATGTATAAAATAGAACAGAATAGAATAGAATTATGACAAACTGCTATGCATTAAAAAAAATAACCTTTTCACGTTTAGCCGATTACGATCCTGCAACTGTCAGATTTAACTAAAATGTCATGCAATAATTCTCGACATTCTTAAAATCCTATATGACGTCAAAATTAGTGACGCACTGAAAAAAGGGTTTGGGACAAACTGTAATCGAAAAGAACTAATGATTAATATTTTTAGAAACTTTTTGATGTATATCGAGCTTTTCAATAATATTTTTTTTTAATTTTAACAGCCACAGTTTGCCTTAATTATTTGAATATGCAATAAGAATCCAATAATTATATTTGTAACAAATCCAAAGTAATTAAATAACTAATTACTATTTAACTGGGAATAAGCCACAATTAAAAATAAAAATACGTTTATTGACGTTTCAATTTCCACTTCGGAAATCATTCTCTAAATACAAACAGTAAATTCAACAGGAATCACTAACAGGAGAATTTTAATGTCATCATTTCATGTGTTTGTCTTTTTAAAGACGAATTACATGCTATGATTTTTTCTGACGGATATTCTCAAGTTAAAGTTGATTTCATGTAATCGAATGAACTATCTTATAAGTAAAGTCGTCCCAGGAGCGCAACTCAAAAATATTGGCAATATCATTTTAAAGTCGTCTACTTTAAAATGCATAATGTATGTCTGAATTGTCAATATAAATGAGTCAGATAAAATTAAATTATTAGAAGAATTTTCACTTCTTCTTCTTCTTCTATACAGCCCTTAAAATCCATCCTTGGATATAGGCCTCCTCCTCCTTCTTCCATGCCTCTCTATCTTGGGCAATTTGCATCCATTTTGACCCGGCGTGTTTCTTCAGGTCATCTGACCATCGCATTTGTGGCCTTCCCCTTTTACGTTTGTGATTCCATGGTCTCCAATGTATAATTGTTTTAGTCCAGAATTTTCACTATGTAACAAAAAACAAAATTTGTTTAATTTACTGTTTGTATTTTGAGAACGATTTCCGAAGTGGAAATTGAAACGTCAATAAACGTATTTTTATTTTTAATTGTGGCTTATTCCCAGTTAAATAGTAATTAATTTACAATGCCACAAGAAAATAGCTTCAGAATAATTAAATAACATCGCAAAAACTTAGATGTATAATACTAAACAAGAAATTAAATAAATTTTTTTTTTATATTTTAGATGAACGAAGTAACACACTTTTTAGACGGCTCTACAATTTATGGTTCAACTCCAGAGCAAACATTACATCTTAGAAGTTTTGAAGGGGGTAAACTCAAATCTTTTAATGATTTTGGTAGGGAACTCTTACCATTATCGAAAGATAAAGATGCGTGCCTTACTATGGAAGATGGAACTGCTTGCTTTGAATCAGGTTAGAAAACACAATGCTTCACAAATTTAATAAATTTTAAAGTATGGTTTTTAAGTATTAGTATGACATTTACAACAGGTTACGAGTAACGACCCTCGTAACCTGTTGTAAATATCATATTAATATCAGTAATTTCGTGGTTTTATTTTGACCTTTCAGTAAATTTTTTCTTCTAATGGCAATATGAAGATTGTCGTCTTCGTCGTTCTCAGTCATCACTCATGTAATGAACCTCTAGTTCTCCGAGAACGTCATTCGGAAAGCTTTGAGTCTGAAGATCATCCTCATCTATGTCCTCATTGTCAGTTTAGTAGTCAGTCTCAGGAGGAATAACTACCACTGATACATCTTTACGAATGGAACTCGCTAGGTCATCTGAAGCTAAAGCCAGAGCTCTATAACGGTTTCCTTAAAACCCAATGGGAGTAATAGGTGGCAATTTTTAAAAATCCATTCAAATACCAATATTGAACCTGAAACAATAAACAACTAAATAATCATTTTGTAACATAAAAACACAATAATAAAAAAAATCTCATACTGAATAAATAAACATTACTAGTACTTACCGTTTCAAGAATAAAAGTTAAAAAAATGATAAATAGTATCAAAATTACAAAATAACAAACACTTAATAATCCAACAGAAATATGGAAGTTAGCTTATAATTACCTCGGCAAAAATTAGAGGAGCGCCTAAAAGAAGAACTTCGCATATCGTGCTGTGAGGTCACCAATCAGTTTCTAAACAAATTGATGTCACCACACACACGTGATTTTTTACAAAAACACCCTATAACCTAAGAAATTATTTTTTGACGATCAATTCGTTGGTATTTTAATTGTAGATTCCTTTCTTCAAAAATAAAAGAAAATGGGAGTGTTTTGTCTTGAGTGTAATAAGGTGTTTCAGACCCAATCAAGTCTTAATCTTTTATTAACAACTATTTACAATATATTTACTGATCAATGTTGGTTTACTTAATCCAAACCTGTTAAAAACTCTTCATTACACAAATTACAATTGTCGATCCTCTCTCAAATATTATACCTTATAGTTATATGTGTTATAACTTATTCAGTACTTTATTTGGCAAATAAATATTTGACATTTTATCTATCGGTAAGTTTATACTTTCTTATAGAATCGGAGATACATGTAGAGTACCACTTTTTTACCAGATGTATCACTACTAGGCCATTTTTGCTGCTGTACATGACGAGTACAGTGGGACCAAATGGGTTTAACCACAATTATCTCCAAAAGTATTATCTTTAGGTAGAGGGAACTCTAATACTTATTAAAAAACAATCGATTTCTTTTCCGTTTAAATTATAAAATATAGGATGTTTCATTTAGAATTGTTGACTTGCTGTAGTTTGAAGTTGAAGGAAATAGCGTATCATTTGTAAACACCCTGTATTTGGAAATTCGATTTTAATGAAATTTCTTGAAAAAATTTTACCTAGTCTTTGTGCACAAAAGTTTTCAAGACATTATCTATCAACATTTTAGGAAAAGTATGAATAATTCAAAAATATTAACTTACTTATGGTACGTATAGTAGTCTATAGTTAAATATGGTACATTTTACATATTTTATCTAGAATCTTATGTAAAATCCAAAAATACAATAATATAAGAGATGTTCTATTTAAAATAACAAAGATGCTACCTATTTCCGGTATAACCGGAAATAGTGTGTCTGCCAAAATAATTTCTTTGAGTTCGTCATAACTTTTAATTCTCATAAACCAATTAATAAATATCATTTAAGTGATTTCTGATATATAGATAATGTAAGCTTGTCGTGAAATACCCTGTATATATATTCTTAAAAGTTTAAATATAATAATTTTTAATTTTTAATATTATTTGTAAGTTAATTAACTCTAATATAACAAAAACAATAAGTGAAATTTTAATTAATAATTATAATTACAAACAATTTTAATTACTGGAGACAAAATACTAATATAATTTTCACTCTCAGGATTCTTGTGCCAGTTTAGAAATACTCTTTCGATCTTAAATTAGCCTGTTCCAAGAAAACCAAATCTCTTTAACAGAAAATAAATGTAACATTTAAAAATATATGAAATAGTAAAGCACCATAATCAACACAGCTTAGACACTTAACATGTTACCTTCTTCTGACATAATTATGAGCAGCTCAAATTAAACGAAGTTAAACAAACAAAAGATAAAAAAACTAATAATAAGTATATTAATAATTTTCTTGCTCTTCTTTTTCTTTACATGTAGGCATGACTTCGTCTGTTTTCGTGGTCTTGCTACTAATCGTCTTTCTATTGGGGAACCGTCCCTTGCAGCCTTTACTACTCTATTATTGTCCTTCGGCTTATATGATCATTCGGCTTCATTCTACTCTTATATTTCTTACCCAGTGCTTGATGTTTTTTACCTTGTATCTACGTCCTATATCTGTATTTCTAGCTCTGTCCCATCATATTTTCTAAATGTTTTTATCTTTGCTGTTTCTAACATCCTTTTTTGACTGTTCCGTAAGTTCTGCCTCTTATTTCTTTCTCGATATTTTATTTCTCCATATTGTTTTATTCAGGCAACCTGCAGCTAGATAATGGGATGCCTAGATATATAAACTCCATCACTTGTTCTATTTTCTGACGAATTTGTCTTTTTTGGGGAAATTAACTTATTAAATTTTCTAGAGGTTATATTGAATTGGTCCAGCATATGTTGTAAATCATCTTCACTTACTTTTTTATTATTTCATCCATAATCAGGTTGAACAATAGAGGAGAGAAGAATCTTCTTGTCCATTCCTATTGCCAGCTTCAATAGGGTCAATTAGTTCTTCTTCTACGTACTTTAGGAGTTCGTTCGGTATTTTGTCCTCTCCTGCTGATTTTCTTCTTCTTCAGTACCTTATCCGGTCCGGATGTTGGCGATCATCAAGGCTATCATAGTTTTGTTGACTGCTCTCCGACACATCGTGGAGGTCATCCCAAACGATTGTCGTAGGGTTTTTAACCATGAGATATGACTGCATCCCGGTCCTTTTCTGCCAAATACTTTACCTTGCATAACGAGTTAAGAAATTCGATATTTTTCTTCGTTCCGCATCACGTGCCCGAAGTACTCAAGCTTACGTTGTTTAACTAAATTAAGCACTTCTTTTCTTTTGTCATGCTATAAAGGACCACCTTAACGTTAGTGGTATGGTCCACACACGATATTTGTACTATCCTTTTGTAGATCCACATCTCGAAGGCTTTAATCCGCTTTTCTGTGGCTTGGGTCAGTGTCCAGTCTTCAACTCCATATAGTAACATTGAAAGAATGTAGCAGCTCACTATCCTCATCTTGGTTCCCAAACTGAGATCACTGCATCATAGCAAGGATCTCAATTTGATAAATGTAGACCATGCTATTTCAATTCTGGATCTAATCTCTTGAGCGTAGTCCCATTGTGAGTTGAGGGTAGTTCCAAGGTAAGTGAATCTGTCGACTCTCTGGATCTCTTCTCTACCTGCCATTAGTACCCCGGGATCTAAACGGCCTTGTCTGCACGGTTGACAACCACGAATTTAGTTTTCTTAATATTAAGGCCTAGTCCGTACGTTACGCTCATAGTTCTCACTCGATCTAGTAAGGCTTGTAGATCATTTATGCTAGTTGATCGTAACACAGTGTCATCGGCGAAGTGGATATTATTGATTTATTCACCGTTCACTCCGATTCCCATCTCTAGGCTTGTGAGGGCTTCCGTAAAAATTTCTCCAGAGTATATACTAAAAAGAGCGGGCGAGAGCACACAGCCTTATCTCACTCCTAGCTGGTCTTCGACCTTGACTTGAGAACGCTGAATCCAGTATAAATTCAGGATGATGATCCGAATGTCTTTCTCATCCAATCCTACTCTTTGTAGGGCGACGACTATCTTCTGACGCTGACAACGGTCAAATGCCTTTATCGTAGTCAATAAAACAAATATAGATATCACTACTGACATCGCGGCATCTCTAATGTAGGACTTGTAAGGCGAACATTTTCTTCGCATTTCTTGTAAATTCTGGCATGTATGACTTTAAGAAAAATCTTATTTGCATGACTCATAAGGCTGATAGTTCAGAAATTTTTGCACGTTTTAGAAGATCGTTTCTTTTTTTGGCAGTGTTACAAATGTTGACAGTAACTATTCCTCTGGGACATTATCAAAATCGTATATGGCGTTAAAAAGTTCAGTTAACTGCTTTGTACTTAATTTACTCATCAGCTATAAGTAAAACAGATATTTCGTCTAGACCTGTGGCCTTACCATTCTTAGACTGTCTTAAAGCTACTTTTACCTCGCTTTCTAGTAGATTGATGGCACTGTCATGGAATTTATTAGGTAAGGTTACCTCAGTAGTGCCATTTTGATCGGTGATTTTTTGTTTTTTAATTTCCTTTATGCCTCCTTTACCTCTTCCTTCTACATATTCCTTTCTTCGTGTGACGTCATCTCTGGTGTACATTATCGCCACCTTAATCAAATAGGGATCAAAAGCAGTCTGGCCATGTTTCCTTCTGAATGGCTTTCGTTTTTATTATTTCGTTGATCTCTTTTCTTTGTCCTCTGATCATTCTGCATATTTCATTTTATGTTCCGTAGAAGTCGTGTTCCATCTGTTTTGAGAAGCTCTGCCAGTGTTCTGTTTAGATTTGTCTGACTTAAGTATTAGTTTAATTTCTAACTCGCTTATAGTGGTTGTATGTCTGTTGTGTTTATTGTGTTCTGTATTGTAAAAAGGTGTTCTTTTTTCTTCACATTTTGTCTTCACTTCCCCGGGGAAGAGGTTTCAAAAATGACGTTCAGCTTGTTGTGTTCTACGTCATTCAAGTACTTCTTATAACAATACAGAATACAGTACTTCTTTACGAAAAGTAATGAAATAAATTCGTTAGATCCATAATATATTATTTTTGTAATAATTGTAATAATAAATTGTATTATTTTATTTTAAATATGAGTTTATTGTTAATTAGAAGCAGAGGCTTTTATTAGATGATGGTTTGTTAAATATAACCTTCTGAAATTTGGTTTTATCGCATGGATTCTTCCAACGCTCACCGTCCCTTCTTTAAGAAGACTTGATCTGTTTATATAAGCCCGCTGAAGCGTACTTTGATTATTAGTATGGCAAACTGTTTTGTAAGCAATATTAGTGTGAATTGCATGCGATAATTCTTGTGTTATATCTTGTGATAATGTTATTAAAATTTGTGATATTTGAATTTTAGTGAGTTTTTTTTTGGAGTAAAATAAAGTTAGTTAAACCATGTTTGCTTTACTTAATATCTTAACCTATAGAAAAACATAACATTATAATATTGATTTATTTTAGGGGATACCAGAACTAATCAAATGATTACATTGGTGGCACTGCATACAATATTTATGAGAGAGCATAACCGGATTGCTGAGATTCTCTCGCACTTGAATCCCGATTGGAATGACGAAGAGATATTTTTAGAAACCCGCCAAATAGTAATTGCCGAGCTGCAAGTTATTACATATAAAGAGTTCTTACCAATCATAATAGGTAATATTTTATTTCTTTTACTTAGGTTTATTGTGTCTCTATAATATAGTCACTGTAAAAATTAGATACACTATAAAGTTACATAATAGAATAAGCAATAACAAAAGTTACATTAAAAAAAAAGAAAATATATAATTAATATATAACTAGCAGCAAAACAGACATACAGAAAGAAAATATAGACGTTAATGTCATTTGGTGCATAATACATCGTCCTTTATAAAAAGACATAATTTGTTATTTAAGAATTACATTTTTGATAGTAGATTCATAAAGAAATTGAATCTATTTTGTGTAAAAATAAAAATAAGAAAATTGCCTCCATCAAATACTTTTGTTAAGGCAGATATGATTTTAATTCATTTTATTTTATCAGAAACGCTGATATATTAAACATTTATGCAATTTTTAAAATCTATACTCTAATTCCACTATTTGGAAAAGTTATTCATAGTTTAAAAAACGGAGAAGTAGGGGAAGAAGTATGAAAATCCTTACGCGACTGCGCCAGCTATAAAATAAAAATTTGCATATATTATCAGCCACAAAATGATATGTCCTACATTTTTTAAATTATATTTTTTTATTTCATACATCCCTAAATATGTTATGTCTTAATAAAATAAAAATAATAATAACAAATTTTGCCATTCTATGTTTACACATTAGGACTAATTTAAGGTGATACAACAATGGAAGAATTTGATCTTAGTCTGGAAGAAGGTTATGAATATTATTACGGTTATGATCCAAAGGTGGAACCTTCCGTTATTAATGAGTTTTCTACAGCAGCATTTCGATTTGGACATTCAATAGTCGACGGAACCTTAAAGTAAGTAATTACACGAAAAAACAAGACAAAAATGTTTTTAAGTGATTTTATTTTAAATAGAAATTACATTATTATCATTACAAAAAAAAAATACATTAAGAAATAAATATATTAAAAAAATAGTGACAAATAGAATACAGAATTAATGAACGTTATTCTCCTAATTTTTTACTAGTTTTCTGTAGTTATCTTAGTCAGTAATTAACAAGCAAGCAATTTGATTGAACCCAGTTAGGGAGACTTGCAAATCCCTTAGAATAACATTCGGGTGTTACAATTCATTGGAACTAGATGTATTGACTCGTGTTACCAGGAACCACTTCCCCTTGCTCCAATGCTCCAGAACATCCCTTTCTTCCGTATAGCAATCTGATGCACGATAGGGGCTCACTATCAGCCAAATACTTTTCGTGTGGAAGTTCTGGGTATAAGAACACGATATCCTAACCCCATCAATGCAGGCTACCGTGACGCGCTCTTTTCCGGCTTTCTCTAGTGAGGTATCTTCTAAATATGCCTATCTTCTAGAGATGTTGGCGACCACATGGACCCATATTATTCTATTAACAACAGCTCAAAATAGATCAGTTGGCATTAGACCAGTCCTAAGATAGGCCAGCCAGAAAATACGTCTACGTCCAGGGCCTCTCTTACCCTGTAGAATCAACTGTAGAAGTCGGTATTTATCATTACGCATGATGAATTCGAAGTAACCCAATTTTCTGTTTTTTATGGTGTTAATAATTTCTTTGTCTTTTCTTAGCCTCTGGAGAATAGTTGTTACTTGTGTGGTGTATATATGAGCCCCTTAACATACGTCACTAGTACCACATTTCAAATGCCTCGAAACGTTTTATGTCATCTTCTGTAAAGCTCCAGCTTTCTATTTCATAGAGAAGGACACTAAAGACGTAACATCTAAGAATTCTTATGCGTATATTGATACTTAAAGATAAGTTACAGAGAATCTTCCTAACGTTGTTGAAAGAGCTTCTGGCTTTTTCAATACGAGTTTTTATTTCGTAGCTGTGATCCCAAGTATCTTTAATATTGCAGCCCAAATAGCATATTCTTTCCACTCTTTCGAATGGCGTATCGTTAATTGTAATTTATGCGTTTATGCCGGTGTTATTACTAATGATCATTATTTTTGTCTTCTTGTAATTCCTTTATTTTTTTTAAGTTGTCCTAGAAATAAACATTAATTATTAAAATTGCAAGTGCTGCATGATAGGGCTTCTTGTATTGGTAGAGGTATGAATTATCCACACTTTATGTATTTATCCAATGCTGTCTTCAGATTGATGACCGCTACATATAAGTTTCTGTGCTTGGCCGCAATCGCTGTGTCGTCTGCATAAACGCTGAGTAGGTTTCGGTGTTCTGTGGTCACGAAGTTCTTCGGTCTTGGGTGTTCCTAAAGCTTCGGAAGCAGGAACCCTGCTTAAGTACGAAGAAATCGGTCTCGTTATCACCTTAGAGTATCCGTAGCTTCTAATTTTATATATTAGGCCTGTATGCCTGACTCTGTCGAAGGCTTTGTTTACATCTAAGAACGCTGCTCTTGTATACTGTTTGTCGTTAATTCTAGCTGTTATGTATTCTTCATAACATGTGTCAGCTTGGACACTAACAGCATAACTTTACATTTATTTTTTAGTTAATCGTTTGCAGATGTAAATCTCTTTCTAAATAGATTAGAATAGAAAAAGTTTTTTGAGAGATTTCTTTTTGTTTTAATCTTGCTGTCCATTTTCTCTAACGAATTTGGACGAAATACTGCAAGGAACGATATAATTAAGGCTATGATGCTCCAGAGGTCACTAGCTCTCTCAGAATTCTGGTCAAATATGATGGATTAACTGTGGTTTGGTTGTCTGTGATTAGTCTAGGAGCATGATGAGCATGCTATAAGTTCTCGTGTATGCATGTGCGTGTTTGTGTGAATTAGTGGGTTTATGTATGTGGGTTGGATTTGGTTAACATATCTACAGTACTAATATAGCTGCGGGCTTTATGCTATATTCTGAGTTGACCCACGGATATGTATTTTATCATGTTTTATTCACACATCCTATTTATTCATATTTGTGTCTGTGGTTTAAATTCTTTTGCTATACAGTGCTTTTCAGATAAAACCATCCACCTTAAATAACTTTTGAACCTCTAATTTTTTGGGAAAACGCAAAAACACGTCAATTAATATCTGAAGGGGGAGGCAAAATATCATATTTAAGGTTGCTGGAAAATGCACCCTCTCACCCCCTGTATCAACCCTTTATTTTTTTTACTTCCCCCTTTTTTTATTTTATATTTGGATTCTCCTTTTTGTACTGATTTCAGAAATGTATATTACATGATACTTGTTGTGATTAGTTTATGAGAAAAGTAAATACAAAAGCAAGAAAATTGGATTGAAAAATAGTACATTGTTTACCGGGTAGGAAAAGCTAACATTCCTGGACGACTGTGAAGATTGCTAAGTCGAGGCGCTAGCCGAGACTTAGCAACACAGAGTCCGGGAATGTGGCTTTTCCTAGGAGGTAAACATACTGTTTTTCCGCAAATCGTTTAAAATTCGACAGATATTGATTGATTTAAAAAAAACGCGATAATTTTATTCCCAATTAAATGGTGCTTTGAAATTCCTAATAAAATTACTTTTGTTACTATGGAAACGTATTGAGGTTGAATTGTCAAACTTGACGCTTATAAATTTAATTGCTGGTTAACACTAACAACTGTACGGAAATATCATTTCCTTACAGTAAGGAAATGACATTTCCTTACAGTAAGGAAGTCCTGACTTTTTCTTCAAGAAATTTTGACAGGAATGTCAAAATTTCCTGGCGATTTGCGGAAAAAATTATTTTTTAACAATTTTATTACACACATTTAGAACAAACATTTTACTACTAAAAATGTTTACAATAATTGTTCAAAATGACTGCCTTTCACTTCCATACAATAGTACAATCTATTTTGAAATTCTTCTCTGACATTGCTTAACACGTCTGCATTTAATTGTCGAATTCATCCTCTATTCTTTGTTGTAAATCATCTAGATATTCTGGTTGAGTAGCATAATTTTTGTTTTTAAATACTCCCATAAGAAGAAGTCTTCTTCTTCTTCTTTGGGTGCCGTGTGTGTATTCAGACGTTGGCCGTCATCATGTTTACAATTTCCTGAAACCTTTCTCTGTCGGCTGCTGCGCGAAATAATTCTTCTACTGTGAAACCACACCATTGTCTAATATTACGCAGCCATGAAAGTTTCTTTCGACCAATCCATCTCTTTCCTTCCACTTTTCCTTGTATTATAAGGCGAAGTAAATGGTATTTGGGTCCTCTAATTATATGGCCGAAGTTTTCTGTTTTTTCTCCTCTTTATGGTGTTTATGAGCAGACGTTCTGAGTTGATCATTTGAAGAACATCTTCATTGGAAGTGTGCGAAACCCACGATATCTTTAGGATTCGTCTATAGCACCACATTTCGAATGCTTCTAACTTGTTTAGCATTGCGGTTTTTAACGTCCATGTCTCACAACCATACAATAGGATCGACCACACATAACATTTCAGGACCTTCTTACAAATGTTCATTGACAGGTTTCTGTTGCATAAAACTGGTTTCCAGGTCATAAAAGCCTTACGTAATATTTCGATCCTGGATATTATCTCTTCATCAGAGTCACAATTTACATTTAACCAGCTGCCAAGGTATTTGAAATGATTTACCCTTTCTATCTCTTCTCCATTAAGAGAAAGCAGACCTTGATCTATTTGGATCTTTCCAACTGCCATCCACTTTGTCTTTGAAATGTTGATTTTTAGGCCTCTCCGATAACTTGCTTCAGAAGAAGTCTAGGGGTATTCAATCCGGTGACCTAGGTGGCCAATCGATTATCTGTCGTCTTTCACCTATCCAAGGACCGGGAAACGTTTCGTTTAAAAATTATCGCACAGGTAAAGCAAAGTGTGGAAAAGCTCCATCATGTTGAAATACAACCAATTCATCGGAAAGGTTATCATCATTTGCTACTATTGTTCTAACGATCAACCACTTGCCTATATAATTCAAGACACGATGCACCATTTAAGTTTCCAGTGATAACGAAGGGTCCGATAATGTGATTACATAGAATACCACACCATACGTTTAACCTTTGAGGATGCTGTGTGTGAAATTCGCGTACAATATGTGGATCACTCTCAGCCCAGTATCGGCAACTATATATGTTCACCAAACCGTTTAATGAGAACGAGCATTCATCCGAGAAGCATATATTGGTTAACAATTGTGGATTGTTAATGATGCATTTTATCATTAATTCGCAACATTCGGGACGACGATCAAAATCTTCTTCATTTAACTCTTGTACTAATTTATTTTATATGAATAAAACTTAAATTTATGAAGGACTCGGAAGGCTGTAGAAGATGAAACACCGATTGCTCTGCTTATTGTTGACAGTGACTGTGATTGTTAAGAGTCTAAGTTAACTTGCCTTAAAACAGCTACTTGGATTGCTTTCTATTTACAAGTTAATGTTGGTTATGTTTTTTATTGCAAACTGACCCTCTTGATCTAATTTTTTCTGCATCAGTTCAATCACACACTTATGAGTTGCATGTCTATTGTGGTGTGTTTCATTAAAAATTCTAGCAGCAGCTTTTGCACAATTATTATTTTTGTAGTATAAACCTACAATTTCGATTCTTTCTTGCAAAGTGTACACCATTTCAGCGATCAAATTGCACACTTATCAAAATAAGCTGTTACTTACAAGTTATAACAAATTGTCGCTATTAACCGATTAAAACAAATGTAAAAATGATATCGAAAACCTTTGATAAAACTTGAATAAAAAGTGAATTTTTTTGTTTCTTGGTTTTTAAAGGTACTACAAATAGTACGGTTAAATATTTAAAGTGTTTAATTTATGCTACAACCTATTTTGTTAGAGTTAATTAAGGTGAGGGCGATACTGTCTTGTTAACAGGAAAATTGTCTGTCTGATAAACTAATCACTTCAAGCCAAAGGTATTATACATTTTTGAAATCAGAACAAAAAGGAGAATCCAAATATAAAACAAAAAAAGGGGGAAGTAATTTAAAAAAAAATAAAGGGTTGATACAGGGGGTGAGAGGGTGCATTTTCCAGCAACCTTTAATATGATATTATGTCTCCTCCTTCAGATATTACTTGACGTGTTTTTGCGTTTTTCCAAAAAAATAGAGGTTCAAAAGTTATTTAAGGTAGATAGTTTTATCTGAAAAGTACTGTATATGTGACTTTAAAGAAAAATCTCTAGATTCTTGGCGATCAGCATGTTCTATTTGTTTTTTTTTTTATTTGTGTTGTTGATAGCTTTAGTAATTCACTTCCTTGTTTGTTGCTTGTTTTTTCTAGGTTTTCGATAGTCACTATTAGGTCAGCTTCTGTGTACGCTTTTTTATAATCTTTTCGGTGTTTTAGATTTAATTTTTGACATTTATTTGTAATTGCCTTACTATGTAGCTAAATGCTGAATTCTTTTGTGGTCAAAATCATAGTTAACAACTGGTTTTGTCTTCATATTTATAACTGAACTACTACTGAACCATACACAGCTCTGACACAGAATAATAAACAAACAGAATACCCACTCTCCACGGAAAATTAAGTACGCGCATTTCCTCCGCGCAGACGTTCCGCCATGTTTTAGGAGGATTTTAAAGAAATTAGTGTTGTTTATGTGGTGTGCATGTAAAAATTAACCAGGTTTATTTAACTTACGGCAATCATAGACATACTATATAATTATATTAACATTGTTAAATATAATAACATAAATATAATATAATTAAAAATAAATATAAACAATTACATAACCACACAAATCATATGTCTGTGTCCTCCTAAAACATGGCGCGCGTGCTGAAAAACTTCAAAGGCGGCATCTGAGAGTGGCCCTTCTGATTGTTTGTTATTCTGTGGCGCTGAGCTCAATACATGTTATTGACATAGTAGAAATAATAACAACAAGAAGTATTGTTTAGATAACCACATTCTACTATCATTATGTCACACCTAATACCAGTTTTTTTATTGCTTTTATTCTATAATCACAACAGTTTCAAACATTTTCTAAATTAAAACAAATATAAATATTAGCAAATTATATATTACTAGTAATAATCTGGCTGTAAAAAATCTTTAAACTGACTAACATGTTTTTTAAATAGAATTTATGGACTTCACAAGCTGGAAGAAATGATATCCATTCCTGAAGTAATGTTCTATCCATCCCAAATGAGAAAAAGTAAATTCCTAGATAAAGTGTTAAGTACCCTCACAACAGAACCTATACAGGAGGTCGATGGATCTTTTACAGATGCGGTAAGTTAATTTAATCAAAACATGTAAAAATCAACTACGCAACCAGCTTTTCGCATTAAATAACTGTAAAAATAGTTTACAGCCAATGTAATATCCATTATTAGACTTCAATGTTGTCAGTATTGCTACTATCTTTAATTTTTTTTTTAATAGCAACGTATATTGAGTACATGGCTCGTTTAGCTTTAGAAGCAGTCGCTCTAAACCAGGGGTGCTCAAACTTGAACTGCTGGCGATCTACCTCAAGATTTTTAGACTACTTACGATCGACTCTGAGAGACTGCAAGTGTGTATGATGCAGGGTTGTCGTACATACACGATACACCCTATCTACCTAGGTAGGGCGTACCGTAGCATATATAGATATTAGCTTTCTGCACAATATAGGTACATTATTTTAGTCAAGGTTTGGGTTAGGTTTAGTTAAGTTCTTCTCTACAATATCAATAAAAAAACTCATAGTTATTCAAAATTGCGAGTTTATATGTTGTTACAAAACAAAAGAGTTACATATGGTGTTAAACTTAACTAAGGAGTGGCTTTGGATGTTGAAGCGTGGCACTGCATGTCCTCAGCATACTTTTCATAAGATGGTACGTAACCACTGAGTGCTAATCGCAAGCATGATGTCATATGATCGTCAGTTAGTCGATTGCGATATTTTGACTTAATTATCTTCATTTCAGAAAATGCAGACTCGCACAAGTAAGTTGACCCAAAAAATGCCGTCAGTTGAAGGGCGATTTAACTACATTCGGATATTTATCTTCAGATATAAAACGCCAGAAATTTGTATCAGATACTGTAGCTTTAAGATGTATATCTGATATAATCTGCACCAACTCATTTTCAAGAGAACATGAGTTCATATTAAACTGACTTGCTATTTCAGTAGCTAATTCCTCAATGTTTTTACATAAAAAAGGATAACTCATAAATGATGCTATATTTTCCAATTTACTGCAATTATAAAAACGCATTTCGAATTGTCCCATAATATTTGATAATTCAGCCTCATACGTATCATAATTCAACTGAGGAATCCTTGCTTTCAAAGACGGAAAATGTTTCAGATCCTTTCTTTTCAGTTGATCTATCATAAGTTGCAATTTACTTTTGAATGCGTTTACTGCGCTAATCATCTCAATAATAGTTTTTCCTTTACTTTGAAGCTTCAAGTTAACGATGTTTAAGTGCATTGTGATGTCAGTCAAAAATGCCAAATCATTTAGCCATTTTTAGTTTTTCAAAATCTGAGTGTCATCACCTCTTTCGTCTAGAAAAGCTGTTATTTCGGGCAATAATTCTTGAAACCTTTCTAGGAATTTTCCGCGACTCAACCACCTGACGTCCGTGTGAAGAACTAAATCAGTGTGTTCAGCTGACTCCCTATCTTCCAACTGCAACTGAAAGAGCCGCCGTTGCAAGCTACGTGCACTGATGGAATTCACAATTTTTGTTGCAATGCCCATAATTTCCTCCGTGTTTAAAACTTTTAAACACAAAACTTGTTGATGTATAATGCAATGCAATGAAAAAAATGAAGGGAATTCTTCATTAGCTCGACACAATACCACAAAACCGTTTTTGTTTCCAGTCATTGCTGGTGCTCCATCGGTTGTAATGCACATTAATTTATATATTGGTAGCTCGTAGTTTTTTACAAAATTTAAGAAAACATTATATTTATTACATTTTTGTAGTTGATAGAATATCATCCCAAATTTGATTCATAATTATGATAAATATTGAGTTAATAAAATAATTAGTTAATATATGTAAATATAAAATATGCTGTGTGGACAGTATTTTGTTGTCCCCACTTCTTTGAATTGCAATGATGCTTAGTCAAGCATTATATGTATTTGTATAGTTCAGTATTAATAAAAACGTTTAACTCTGCTGACAGTAGTTTAGTTACCTACCTAATTATTAAATTTTTTTTCTTCTCGAGATCTACCCAAAAAGCACTCGTGATCGACCATTTGAGCACCCCTGCTCTAAACAATTATTCCGAACCTCATCCAAAACATTCCCTCAAATTTCTAAGCCAGGATATAGGTCTAAGCGCGTAACAAGAGTCTCGTAACTTATGTATTCATAGTCGTACTCTATAATGGTGCTACATAGAGAATGATAAACTCTCATACAGACTCATATTTATCAAATATGCCGAAAAGTTCCTCGCCGCTAGAGGACCCAGTACAGAGAATCACTGCAAAGTATTAAAAGCATTTCAAACGGCGAAAATAAGTAGAACTGCCCACTTGTTGCGGTATTTCTTCGCCTTCATCGCTTGTAACGCCCCCATCACCGCATCTACCGTACTTCTACACTTCAAAAATCAATACTGCCTTAGGGACAATCCTCTAGGCCTCTAATTATTCACCCCTTCGATTATTTCACGCAATATTCTCTCATACAGCTTGCTTATGCTCGAAAGAAGACAAATAGGCCTATACTTTTTAATCCCTTTAGATAGGAGTAGGATCCTCGAGATTTTCCAAGGCTCCTGAAATATCTGTGCCTCAAGCAGGGCGTTCATGTGTTCCAAAAGCCATGAAGGCTCCAGTTGTTCCAGATATTTAACCTCCTCTGACATAATTCGTGTAAGGGACTCCTTATGCATACCATGTTCTGCGTTAACGTCCTTCCGCACGCCATGCGAACTTCCGGTTATGAATAACTCTAGGATAACCTCAAGCTTATCGTCCAGCGGCATTTCGTATAGACAATATACTCTAAAATGCTCCATTATGAGTTTATATTCCTTTCCCTTAAGGTGCTAGTCCAACTGGCTACACATATGTTTCTAGTGGCTCTTCGTCTCGGCTCGGATCATGCTCTTTGGATCCTTCTTCCGAGCTTTGTACTTTCTCTCTTTCTCGTTGCTCCTAGAAGTAGTAGATTTTGACAAAGTATCTATAAAAAAAGATACATGAATACATTAATAGCATATTACTAGGGTAATACCAACCGGGTTCAGAAGGAGCAGGTCAAAATTCGACCAAACATTGGTTTAAACTGCTACAAAAATAAAACAGACCTACGATATAGTAAATAGAAAACAATGGTATATGAGGTTAAAATATCACAAATTATTTTAAAAAAAAGTAGGACTGCATCAGGGTGATGCACTATCAACTGTGTTGTTCAATCTAATTCTGGGACATAGGAAGAAAAAGCTAGATAAAATCCAGGAAACATTATTTAAAAATGGGCATACATTATTTAAATATATCATTGTATAGCCTTCCAAGATCATCATCATCATTAACTAGCCTCTAACGTCCACTGCTGAACATAGGCCTCTCGCATGCTCTCCCACTTAGTCCGATTTTGCGCCATCTGAATCCAAGTCAAAAATAATGTATCATTAATAGCAATGTAAGTAACATATAATTATCAAACATAGTAAAGCAAATAATGAAACAAGCAAAACCATTCTGATTTGTAATTAATCAAGAGAAAAAAGATATATGATAATGGAAAAAAAAGGGAGAAGGACAATTTACAGTTTCATTAAAAAGAGGATTTGTTAAGGATTTGTGAAAAATTGTTAAGAACGTTATTGAAACCTAAATATTGATTAGGAATCACAAAAATAAAAATAAAGGAGAAAGTTAATAGATTAACATTTAGTATATGCAAAAGAAAGATGGGTAACATCCTTGCAGCGTTAATTAAACATGGTAAAACCAAACTATATACAAGTTTAGCCAAACTGTTCCAAAACTGCATTAATGGAATGACAACCCCAGAGGAGTGGAAGACATCATTCATATCCACTATACACAAAAAAGGCAGAATAGATGAATGTGACAATTACAGAGAGATTGCCGTGATATACTCAGTCAGTAGAATATACGAAAAATTAAACAGAAAGCGAATATGAAGACTTTAGAGGCTGGGGAACAGGCCGAATTTAGCGTAGGTAGATCTACTGTTGACCCTTTGTTTTGCATTAAACAGGTTATTGAAAAGAAAATAGCCGTTAATCAAGAACTACATTTATTGTGTGTAGACTTACGAAAGGCTTATGATAGCGTACCACATTATATATTATGGGAAGCGTTAGAGAAAACAAACATAAGCATGAATTTAATAAATGCGACGAAGGAACTGTACGCTAATGCTAACTTAAAGGTAAAGGTTGGAAATAATCTGTCAAGCGGATTCCACATGAATAAAGGCCTAAACAGAGCTGCTGTCTCTCCCCGACATTACTTAAAATTTATCTAAAACAGGCTCTAAAACTGTGGAAGCGGAAATGTAGAAATATGGGAATGCCGATTAACAACAATAGCATATACACTTTATTATTTGCATACAATCAACTAGTGATAGCACAATATTAAGAATATATTAAGTATATGACGCGAAAATTAATCGAGGAGTATAAAAAATGGGGACTTAAAATCAATATCCAAAAAACCGACTATGTGTATGGGCGGGAAACAGCAGGACCTCATATTGGAAGATGGAGAAGTTATCAAACGTTGCAACGCATATAAATATTTAGGTATGATCATCACAAAAGAAGGCAACGTAGACGATACAATTGAGGAGAAAAGCAACCAAGCAAATATTTCAATATTAATGTTCTATTTACTATTTTATTTATGTTTATTTATGTATCTATTTACGAATGGTCATTTGAGAAAAATAAAATAAAATTAAACAAATTAGAGAAACGCAATGTTCAGTAATTAAAAACATACATCCTTATTGTGCCGAAAGATATAAGATGTGTGTGGTTGATAACATAATACACAAAAATAAAATTGTCAATTTTTTAATGATGGGGGATTTATATGACTGCGCCATTGTATGACTGGGCCATTATAAATCTATTCGCCAAATCTGGAAGATAGTAAATCTATTTTAGTTTGACTTCACACTTTATATTCATAAAGTATATGAACCCAAACCTCATTGATTTGGACTGTGATTCTAAAGTTATGTATTCCTGTCAAATTCAACAATATGATTTTAAGAAT